CTTAGGCCATTAGCAGTCTGTGTATCTGGAGAAACACCTTTTTCTCCATAAATGATACTTTATGTTATATATCATTAGGATCCTCGAGTTGGTTTTTCTACTACATAAACAGATTGGATGTTTGTAATACCGCTCAAGGATTTCAGACAATATCAGTCTGTTTCAAAGGAATCCTTTTGATCCTAGGAATGGGAGTCTCTGTGTGTTTTCCAACTAAACAGCATTTTACTATTGATTTAGTGGCTTCTTCCATAGGGGAACTCCCCTAGGAACACACTTCCCCCTTTGGGAAGAGTCCTTGTGCATGAGAACAGAATTGTTTTCCTCTTTGGAAGATGTTGCATTTGTCTGGGTAGTTGTGCCAGTTCAGTCTGTCTGCAGTTCTGTGGGGTAAATTTGATTCAAATAGGAATGAACAGATCCTTATAACTTGTACACATGTTAAGATTTTTACATCAGAAAAACTAACCAATATGAGTTTAAAACGGAGATGAATCCTGCTCTAGAGTTCCTGCCCCTGCCCTATGTTTCTGTTATGTCAGGAAATGAGAAGGGTCAAATGCAGGTGGATCTGGTGGGTAGAGCTCAGAAAAGAAATGTTTCTACTTTTATATTTCTGACTCTTGTGCATTTGCTTGTGAATGTTGGCCTGGCTTTAGAATGAGCAGTTCCTGAAGAGCCCACATTTGGAGAAGCAGCTCTTTGCTACGTCCATGGTGAAAATTATTGCTAAAATTATAGCTTTGAGTGCAGTAGTGTATTTTAGGGGGAGGGAAGGTAAACATGATAGCATGGCTCTGTACATGGCAGCAGTAGCACAGGTTTCCTTGATATCTTGGGAACCTGCTGAATGTTGATATTTGAGCATCCTGTCACATAGTGGTGCTTCCGGACCTCTTCCAGAACACCTGGTTTGTTTTGCCCCCCCACCCCCATCCTCAGCTCAAGTTGCCTGAGTTTACTTTCACCACAGATACCCAGGCCCTCTGCGGCAAGGGAAAGGACATGAGGGAGGCCTGTTTTGGAGGGTGCTGCAGAGGGGACAGGCAGCTCAATATAGCTACACACTGCTCAATCCTCCATGCTGGACCTGGCCCACAGGCTATATGTTGCCGGTCCACTTCTGTAAATCAGGGTGAAGCAAATTTATGTGGCTATTTTCTCAAATGGACTCGTGATAAGTATCCATCTCCAAAATATAGTTTAATGTGGGGTGGCAACATTTTTGGGCAGTGCACCAAAAACACCCTCTACTTTGATGTTGATGTGCAGGGGTGGACAGCAGGAGAACTGCAAAAGGCCCTATCCTTGTTGTGGCAGCGCAGTCCCGACCCCTTCCCTGCTGTCTGCCCTGAGGCATGTGTGTCAAGCAAAATGCCTTCGCATTCCAATGCTCTGGCACCCATGCCAGGGGTTGCATACCCCTGGTTTAACATCTAAAATCAAAAGGTGTGTATTTTAAAGTTTGGTTACTCTGTCACCCCTTGGGTAACATGTAACATAATTAAATAATGCTCCCTAGGAAGCCAGGAACCTGTCCAATCCCTGGTATTTCCCTACAACGTGGAGTTCTTAGCAGAAAGATATTCATGGTGAGAGAGCTGTCAAGTCATGCCAGCATCGTGGCAAAGGGCCTGGATGTCATCCCTGTAAAATACTCCATTTCTATGAGTATTTGTAACTTAATATGACTTTTGCAAATTAAAAGTTTGTGGGAACATTAAACCAGATTTTCGTTATAGCTTTCCAATGTCTTGTTTTTCATTGCTTACGTTTTTTTTAGAAAGGCTTCGAAGAAAACCCAAAAAAGAATGTTTTTTAGACTTGTACAGTATGACGCTCCAGGATATGGAGTCAATTAGTTCATTTTACTGCTCAAGTGTTGACTGATTTATCCATCAACCTGGGAATGAAAATCCTTTGTTTTAAACTCCTGGGAAATCCTCCAGATTTCATAAACAGATTAAACCTGATTGTTCAGATGCTCCACTATTCTAACAATTGAGAGCCAGAAGTATGTGATTTGTGCCTGGATTAATTCATTACTGTTGAACACTGGTATGGCATTTTATTAACAATTAGTCATAACTCTTTAAATTGTTTCAACTAATCAAATTCATGTTATTCCAATCTAAGAATGAATTTAATAAAGTCATCAATTTTTATGTCACAAAAGGTTCTTTGCAATAATTTGAGCAGTAAATTGCTGACAAATGCATAGGCTAAACTATTAAAATAAGTAGCTAGTTTGTCTTCAGACTTGTTAAATAATAGAGGCAATTTTACCCAGTTGCATGACTTCCAGGGCTAAATTAATGTCTGCCTTCAGTGTTAGAGAAGAAAAGTCCTGTGAAATAATGCTTCTTCATGGAAAATGTGGGCTTTTTAGGTAGTTTTAAATGAACATGGGGTTCTCCTTTTTTACTTTCATCTTCTGTGCTTTGAATGTTAAGGTTAAATCCTGTGCTATGCTATTGTGTATAATTATAATTTTGATTCATAAGAAAGTAACTTTGCAGCCAGGTGTGGCTGAATGGGATAGCATTTTAAGAGCTGAACTCTAAGGTTCACAGGTATGAGCAATACAGGTTTCCCTAGCTTTATGCTGTACATGCGTTCCTGGAAAACAGTGCATAACTCGAATTTGCATACAATGTAACAAACAGAGATACATTCCAAGACCTTAAGTGTACTGACCCCCAGACCCATTTCTACCACTTTTACAAGACAATTTTGGTACTCACCAACAGCAGACAGTACACATAAGCACAGGGCACTATCATAATGGGGATGGCAACTACAGAAACATGTTTCACAGACAACAAGAGAGGAGCACAGATCCACACAGGGGACTGTTATTTTGGCGTGTATCACTCCCACAATGCACCACACAAAGCAGATGACTGTGGGCTTCCACCACACTGATCGCGTAAGAGTGAATTTACCTCGCATATAACAAATTTTTGGTATAAAAAGGGTTATTGCATAAGAGCAAATTTTCACATACAGAACCCACATACAGCAAGGGGAACCTGTATGTCACTTATGTCTTTTTTTAATAATTTTTTTTATATAACTGGGTTTCACTTTGTTTTGCTTATGAAGACCATTGAACTAGCAAAGATGTTAGTAAGGAACTTTGTGATTATTATTATCATTTGATAATGCAGTTTCACACAAATTGCTAATGCCATCAGTAGAAGAGAATTATGATTATTTATTTACAAATACCCCTTTCTCTTCCCTCCAAAAAGTATCATGCAGAGACACTTTTTATTGTCAACTTATTTCAATTATGATACAATGCTCTGTGAAGACGAGTGTCCTAGTTCTGGTGTTTTAAATGAAGGTTTGTCTCCTTTGAGGCGTCTTCAAGAGCTCCCCACTTAGGTTTCAGGCCGCCTGCCAACACTTTCCTTGTAGCAGGCACCCATGTTCCTTTCTGTCCAGACTGAGGGTTTATGTTGCTGTTCACTTTTAATTCAGTGATTATCCCAGCAGGTTCAGTATCTGGAGATCTGCTCTCTCCCAGGGACAGTGACAGAGTTAACCAGTCTTTTATAGAACTGCTGGTTGCTGAAGACAAAAGCATTACAGAGAAAACAAAACAAACTGTTTACCCAGAGGCTGAGCTTACCAGGCAGGTGGATGATGCATAATAGGTGCCTGGATGACCATAAGTTTCAGTTCTTTTATTTTGGTGCAAGTGTCCATATGTCACTGCAGTCTGGACTCTTTTCTTTGCTTATCATTGCCCCCAGACCTCTTGAATCGGACGAAACCAGTACGTGCTGTTTTTATTAGGAGATGATTATATTGCCTGCATTAGTGATTTATTATAACTATTCCTGCCTTGGCAACTGAAAGTTCCCTAGAAAATCTATATATTGAACTTAGAACAGAACAATAAATATAAGGTTAGCTCTGCTACAGGCAGGTGTTTGTTTGTTAATCCTCCATGTATCTGCAGTATCTTTCATGGATTAGTATAACAATTTTTGAAATGTTCAAGTTTATTCGTGTCTGTCACAAAGAGAGTTGTGTGTCTTTGTATTCTTAGTGACCATGTTTATTGTAGCACCAAAATTTGATACCATTTCTCATGTTGAATTACATTTTTTTTTTAGAAATCACATTTTTTTTATCCAGAGGGATTGATCAGGTATAAAGTGCTGTTCTACCCAAGTCGCATTCAGTACTTTTACCCAAAGTAATTAGTGTAAATCCCCTAAGCAGTTCAACACCATTTTTAAGAATCTTTAAAAAAATTTAAAAAGCAACTCGAGGGAATAATTTTAAAAGTACACACAGCAAATCCTGTTATATTGAAGTTGGCTGTATTTCTTGTTTTTCTTCAGTTGAAAGCACTGCATGGTAAGGATCTGATGTACAGAACTGCTGAAAACCTACAGCACAGTGATGTTTATAGACTTTGACAACACTTGGGATCAGGATTATTGTTAAGAGAGGCTTGGTTATGTATTTCGGGTGTTGTGCTAACTTTTTATTGTCTATACAATGATTCACTCTTAAACTTATTTTGACCAGTTCGGTAGAAGAAATTTGGTGCCATTGCTGTGAAGGCTGTGTGAAGGATACGTGTATGTAATGGTTTTTAAAAAGAAGCTGTTATAGGATCACTGTTATTGTCATAAAGAATAAATTTAGTCCTGAAATTTTAACTCCCAGATCAGAATAAACGCTGCTTACTTTACGCACCTCTAGTCTCCAGTTAGTGAGTTAAATGACTTGCATGAACATCATACATACTTTGAAAACCTATGTAAGCACTTTTCTTAAATAGGAAAGCTGTTTATATCTGACTTCTCTGCACATAAATCTCTAAACCTGAGTGTCTGTTTATGAGACTGAATATACTCTTGAAGCTGAATTCCCTTGCACAAGTCATGCAGAAATTATTTGCCTACTAGCTCAATATTACTGGCCAGACTAGCAAGCTGAGCCTGTTTCTTATCCGTAAAACTCTTTTGTTTCCACAGATTTCAGGAAACCTTACTGTGCCTTGGATTACAGGTTGTTCCAGAAAAAGAGCAGTAAGTATATTTCACTTGAAGCAGCTAGTGGGCCAAATGAAGAGGTGGAAATAATCTTTTAAGGGTTTTTGTTGCTTTTTCTAAATGCCCTCTGAAAAACAAATTGCATTCTGTGATTAAAACAGTTTTTTTTAATTGTTAGTAATATTCACAAATGGTGTATTGCAGATATAACCACTAAGCAACAACACTAATTGTTGTAAGATTGTTTTAAAAGTTAAAGACCAAAGGTAAGATCTTGGATCCAGTCTTGCGACCCTTACAGATATTGTAGTTCCATTAGCTTGAATGGGATTATTTATGAATCCCTTGAGAATGGTATTCTCATGCATAAGAACTTTAAGATTTGAGTTGATTAATGTGACTTGTATTAAAAATGAAACAATAGCTGGTTTTGACCCAAAAATTCAGAGTGGAAAAACTAAACCTATAAGAGGACAAATTTTGTGTTAGTCAGACTGTGTGCACATATATAATATAGTATGCATGAGGAACAGGTTTTAGTCCAACTGTGTAGCAATTATCTTGGGTGTAATTTTATCTGTCTGCTCTTTTTTTAAATACACTTGTCCATTAGGCAAAATCTATCAGATTGGTGTCCTGAAGCCAAAAGTCAATTAAAAATAGCATGAAGCTATAAAACTTTTCTTGGAAAGTTCATTTCTTTCAAACCTTCCCAACTCAAAGTTATTTTTCCATACTAATAATATAAAAGCAGTAAAAATGTTTTCTCACAGTTTACATGTGGAGGGGTTCTGAGTGATGGAATATTACAAATCCAGTATTCATAAAATTGTCTATTTAGGTTAAATGGGTATTTTTACATCTTTTAAGTATAAAGTCAAAGGTAATAATTCAGGTAACATTTTTCCAAAATTAAAGAAAAATCTTGCTGTGATAAAGATTTTAGAAATTTTAGGTCTGAAATAGACCTTAAGATATCACCCTCAGCATATTATAAAGATATCATAAAGTCCTGATCTCTCCTCTGAGCGAAAGATCAACGATACATAGATTATTTGAGAGGTTTCAGGGGGTTTTTGACTGCCCCCTCCCCCCCACCTGCTCCTTTAAAATTCCAGTGACAAAACACTTTCATTAGGCAATCTGTTCAGTGCTCTGCTATCTGTAGGTTAGAAAGTGGATTTTTATATTTTGTTTTTTAATTTTTTAATAGCTAACCTAAATCTCTCTTGCTGCAAATTAAGCCAATTACTGCTTGTCCTGCCCTTGGTGGATGTGGAGAAGTAATGATTAATGTCCTCCTTTTTTAATAACCTTTTAAGTAACTGGAAGGTTATCTTTTCCTTCCCAGACTTCTCTCTTCTAGATTCAGTAATTCTAGCTCTTTCAGTCTCTCCTTCATAGATCATGAACAACAAAACTGTTGTAGTAGTTTTTTGTTGCCCTCCACACTACTTTTCTCATGAATTTCTCATGATTTGTTCTTGGTAAAGCCATGCTGGCTGGTTTTTATCTTAGCCCTTGGCTTCTGGTGGAGTGAGAGTTGAATAATTTTTTTTTCAATATCTTTTTGGGTATCGGAATTAAACAGACATCTCTCATTATCTTTCTCTCTTACATTGTTACATGTTTTTTTTAAAGCTAAGTATTATGTTAACTCTTAGTAAGTTCACTGAGACCTCACCAATTCCCAGGAATTCTCAAAGATAATAGCTAATAGTTCAGATTGCCTTAGCTAATAATAATTGTAGAGTAAATTTCCTTGGTCTCTGCCCACTCAAATGCATCTGACTTATCTAAATGTGTTTTGCCTTCTCTCTGTATTCAGGCCTATGCTTCAATCAACTTGCTGATTTTAAACTGTGATAAATTTGTCATAAGGTCACATCCAATCTTGTTGATGAAGAGTGAGGCAAAAAAAGGCAAAGGACATTAGCCACCTTTGTCCTCCATTATTTGTTTGCATCCTCTCAAATGGCCCTATACTTTATTTTGCTCTCTTAATTTTCTTTTCCATTCTACATCTGTTGTTAGTCTGAGTTGTGAAAGTTATTAGTTTTTTCACTTAACATAGACTTGTTTCCTATTTTGGGCACATGGCATTTTAAAATATCAAGATAAGGTTATTAATAATATGGACTCTCTGAAAATGTTAAGCTGAATAATTTAAAGTTTTTTGGTAGTTTTGTGGGCTTTTCTTTAAAACAAACTTACTGAAGTCTTTACTAGAACATTTTGCTTTAAATTATGTTTATCATTCGGAATAGAAACTGGCGCTAGGAACATGGAAGCAGAAACAGGGCGGTATGCATTGTGGTATTTAGGAGGGTCTCTATGTTATATGTTAAGGGTGAAATAGCAAGGAAGTAGCTCCTTAATTGGAAACTGGGTTATGTATAACAAGAGTAAAAGATCAGATTTTGGTACATGAAGTAATTTGGACAAACTTCTGAGGTAGTGGTAATATATCCTTTGTACAGTTTGTGGCATAGCACAATATGCAAAATATGAGATTATTTCATATTTAGGAATTTTGTCCATAATATAGAAAAGGTATGTCTGTAGAGTTCCTGGGATAAAGTAACATGTTTATAGACAGAGGAGAGAGAAGTTGAAAGTTATTTCTTTTAGTTCCACAACCAATTAACTTGGAGGTTTGTCTTCCTTGCTTCTTATTTAGAAAAGAAGAAATAGTAGATTCCATTTCATGGCATATCCAGCTTGATAGCATCTGTTTCATAGTTTCATAGTTGGTAGGGTCGGAAGGGACCTAAGCAGATCATCTAGTCCAACCCCTGCCATGGACAGGAAGGGATGTTGTGGTCAAACGACCCCGGCTAGGTGGTTGTTTAGCCTCCTTTTGAAGACCCCCAGGGTAGGGGTGAGCACCACTTCCCTTGGAAGTTGGTTCCAGCTCTTAGCCACCCTGACAGGTAAGTAGTGCCTCTTGATGCCTAGCCTGAATCTACTCTCAGTCAACTTATGGCCGTTGTTACCCCTGGTAGTGTTCGGGGGAACAGGGACTCCCATTGCCTGCTGGTCTCCCTTGACAAGTTTATAGGCAGGCACTAGATCCCCCCTCAGCCTTCTCTTATGGAGGCTGAACAGCTTCAGGTCCTGTAGCCTCTGCTTGTAGGGCCTGCCCTGCTGCCCCATAATCATGCAAGTGGCCCTCCTCTGGACCCTCTCCATGTTGTCCACATCCCTTCTGAAGGGTGGCACCCAGAACTGGATGCAGTACTCCAACTGCGGCCTAACCAATGTCACATAGAGGGGGAGGATCACCTCCTTGGACCTGCTCGTGATGCATCTGTGGATGCTGTTGTTTTCAGATATATCAAGTATTTTATTAATTTAAAATTGAAGTGGCTCATTTTATAGCAACTGTTAGCCCCTTTTGTAAGAATCTTCCAAAGCCTGTTTTTTTCTTAACCTTGCCTTAATAAAGCTATGTATGCATGCATGGTTTGTGTGTTTTTATATCTGTAACTTTTTTGCCACAACTCTGTGATCTAGGACTCATCTTCCCTGAAGTATTTGCTCAGAATATGACAGAATTATTCTCACTTGAATAAAAGTGGTAATGCTGCCAAATAATACAAACTGTGCTTGAGTGTTAGCAGCCCAGAATATTTGCCTCCACTCTTACCAGCTTGAGCATCAGTTGTTGTAGTCAAGCTTCAGTGCATGTTCTCTGATGGGCCAGCTAACTTAAATTTAAAGCATCTTTTACCATATTAAAGATTTGTGTATGAAAGGAGTTTGGTTTAGGGGCAATATCCAAGTTGTGCTTTACATCATTCCAGCAAGCCCCTTGTTTCCTGAGTGGTGGTCAGGTATACACTCCAAAAAATAAATCTGTGAATCAAACCAAACTGCTGCAGCTCTTCCTTGGCTTTATTACTATTGTAATTGCTTTATGCTGTCTGGCATCACTTCCCTTTGGAACAGCCATGTTCCATAAATGCTGTGTCAGGATGTATTATGTTCGTGTAGGTGCCTCTGAGAGTTTTGTTTGGGACTTCTGAAGTAGCAGTCCCTAGATTTAAACCTTACTGAGTGGTAGCAGGGCATACTAAGTAAAAGCTCTTGACTCTAGCTGTTTGTTTTCTCCATTTATTAAACAACCCATGTGCTCTCAACACTGAAACTTGGTACAACTCTTCTTTCTCCTAATAAACTGTTTTCTAAAGGATAGGAAGGTGAGAGGCTGTTTTAACAATGTTGGTTTTAATAGTCTGTATGTCCCTGTCTTGGTTTTACCTCACCACACAAAGAAATTAATCTGTTTTTTGCAACAGTTTTCATAATTTATATTAGTCAGTTTCAGAAACAACATAATAGTGAGAGACTTAAAATCTGCTGTTAGCAATTCTTTCTGTAGTTAGATTGCAATAAAATTTCAGCCATTGGAGTTACTCTGTGATACACTGATGTCACTAAAGAGCAACTGGCAAACCCAGTGGAGTGAAAAATAGCATTGCACAGCTCTTCAGAAGTGCAGAATAAGACTTAAAAAATAAAGAAAAGGAAGAAAGAAAAGAGGTCCTGCTAATAGAAAGGGCAGCATAGGCTGCTCTATTGGAGCTCCCTCAGAATGAAACATTTATACCTGTAATTCGCATCCTTTTTTTTTTTTTTTACAGTAATTGTAGGAAATTCTTTTCCTACATCTTAAATAATTTTAAGTAAGTAATCCTTCCTCTTGTTTTTATTTCTGCTTCATACTAGTTGTTTATATAAACTAAAATATATGGTTTGGTTTGGTTTTATCTTGCATTGCAAGAAATGAAATGTGCTGATACGAAGTCATGCTTCTTCTTTTTTTAGCTATACAATAACTGCAGTCCTCCCTGGAAATACAATGATATCCAGAAACTTTAAGTGCCCTATTTTGCTGTTAATTTTGTGATGATGTTTAAATAGCCTGAATCCATGCCATTGAAGATGCTTTGAAAGCAGTTTTAGACTGATGGAGACTTAGTAGTTTAATGAATGACAGCAATTTCCATCTTTCTCATCTCTCAATTTGCACA